TCAGCAGGCTCATCCGGTGGTCGCCTTTCTTGGTTATGCTTCTCACTCTTTGCATTTTCTGTTTTTCTGATAATGCTGGTCATTAGATTCCACGATCAAATCAACGTTAGCCATATGCTCTTCCTACTAGTTGACGTAAGTTTTGCCTCGTTTTTGTAGCTTTAGAAACTATGAGTTAAGTTCAGGCTACACTGTCTCTACTGCGATCTTTACACGGGCTTTTACGTTGTTTGTCATCGTCAGAGCGTTTTGCGCGCAATCCAGATGCTGTACGGCATTTCAACTACTGGCTTGACCTATCTGTTACACTCGCCACTGACACCATTCAGTTATTTAATTATGTTAGTTTTTCCAAACGGAACTAGTTGCATTTTGAGAAGAAATGTTCAGATTTGTTTTTGTGTTTCAGATCCATCTCATGTTTATGTCACCACTCGGTTTCAACATCACATGCTTCTTTTTCTTCTACCATATCAAAAATGCTTATAAGTATGTAATACCAAGACGCATGTGGTCATGCTGTTAAACATAATCATTTTAGCTCTATTGTCAACACTCTCACCCGTCATCATAAGCATAATCAAATCTTTCTCCATATTCAATCCACCTATCCTAATGAGGAGGCTGAGGAAAGGGATCTTTGTATTGGTAGGCCAGTCATCTTTATTAAGCTTCTTTTGAATTGATTGGTTATTTTAATGTTGGCGTAACTTGGCTTGAGTTAGCTGACAAGTTTGCAAACCTTTTCTTGACATCATGTTTGACAGTTTTTGTTTTCCCTTAATCATTGATGATCTCTAGTCTGCTGGGAAAAACTGGGGCTATCTCGTCGCCTTCCTTGCGGTCACCAGTTCCATGATTGGTGTTTGATGTGGTGGTTGGCCCAGGATGGATCTTGCCCAACTTGTCGTCGCGCGGTGTCTGCCCCACCACCAATGAATCAACAACCTCCCCCATCACCAGGATCTACAACCACTTTCCGTTTTGGTGGAGGGTAAGTAATTCGTTCAGATAACTCTGTTCTTGCCATTCATATTGTTTCTTATACTTATTGTTTCTTCAAGTTTTGGATTTCTGCGACTTCCATCGTTTTCAATCGAATTTTCCACGGGTTCAACTACCCTCAATCCATTTCTGAGGCGTCAAACCCAGCACGATGATTCGCAGTTAACGGGGATGGCACATCAGGTAGCTGCTTCACTTGCTCCTTGATCTTTCGATTTTAAATGCTGTTTAGGTCAACGAGATGTTTCCCCAAATACCTGTTGAGACTATTATAGAAGATCTGCGAATAACTGGATCAACACAAGCTACCATAGAGAATATTTTAGAAGGACGAGTAGGATTTATGGCTGGCATAATGGGAAATGATGTGAGTATATTGGAAATATTTTGACATCGCGAAAATTGTAAAAATTTTAAGGAAGATGATCATCCTTGGCGAATTAATGGTGGAGCAGGAGATAATGACGACTTACTTTTTGACGATGATGATGACAGCAGTGGTGAGGAAGCAGCGTCGTCATCCGACTCAGCTTTCACCCCATCTCCTCCGCAGCGCAC